TGAACCCCAAACCCTAAACCCTAAACCCTGAACCCTGAACCCTGAACCCTGAACCCTAAACCCCTATAAGCCCTAAACCCTGAATCCTAAACCCTAAACCCTGAACCTTAAACCCTAAACCCTAGGTCGTGACACACCCCTTCTCCGCCATGGCCTCCGGCGTCTCGGTCGCCTCATAGTGCTCCAAGGCACTCAAGATGGCCTCGTGGTGCTTGACCCAGGTATCCACGGACATGTCGAACTCTGCATCCTCAGGGTTTAGGGTTTAGGGTTCAGGGTTTAGGAGTTAGGGTTTAGGGCTTGAGATTTAGGATTTAGGGTTTAGGGTTTAGGGTTTAGTGTTTAGGGTTTAGGAGTTAGGGTTTAGGATTTAGGATTTAGGGTTTAGGGTTAAGGGTTTAGGAGTTAGGGTTAAGGGTTTAGGATTTAGGATTTAGGATTTAGGGTTTAGGGTTTAGGGTTTAGGGTGCATCCTCGGGCTTGCTGTGACGGTACCACTCCATGACCTCCGCCGGCGCGTTGGGGTCCAGGTCGCCATCCTCCAGCACGTGCTGGTTCACCTGGGCTTGTGTTGGAGCTGTATAAAAATGATCATTTTTCATCCTTATTAGGTATTATTATAAAAATGATCATTTTATATCCTTGTTAGGTTTTATTATGAAAATCATCATTTTTAATCCTTGTTAGGCTTTATTATAACAAAAATGTAAAATTGTATCCAACAAGGACCCAGTCACCTTCTCCAAAAGCTCCAGTGCAAGCTTCAGGCACCCAGCTGCATGCGCGCTCAGCTGCCTGAGTTTTCAATTGATCTGCCCCGGTTTAGGGTTTAGGGTTTAGTGTGTAGGGTTGTTTAGGGTTTTGGGTTTAGGGCTTAGGGTTTAGGGGAGGAGACTGAAACAAAGCGAAAGGGGTTGCAACTGAGAGCATAGACCATCATGCTGAGCAGTCGGCTTACACGATTCGATCCTAAAACCACGAAGCATCAAGGGTCTAACAAAACGTCTAGCCCTAAACCCCAAACTTCCCGTGTTAGGCAACAGCAGCGTCTGTTCAAAGTCTACATAAACCTCAAAGCTTTAAAACCCCAAAGCCTTAAACCTCTAAACCCTAAGCCCTTAACCCTGTTAGGACACAGCAGCGACTGTTAAATATCTAAGGCAAGGTTCTTGTCATGCAGCATTCGCATAGACCGACCAACCTTCCAAAGCCTGCGTGCAAAAAGCACAAGGGAAGGGCAAACGCTTGTGTGATTTTAGGGCTTAGGCTTTAAGGCTCGGGGTTTAGGGTTGAGGGTTTAGGGCTCGGGGCTCAGGGTTCAGCGTTCAGGGCTTAGGATTTGGGGTGAGTTTAGCGGCCAACAACAACTGTCAAGAAGAAAGCTGCTAGAAACTCAAAGAGTATTAGTTGCCCCTGAATGTTCCTTTTTTTAAAAAAAAGACCCTACACCCTCAACCTAAACCCGAAAAGCCTCTTCTGCTTGAATCCCAGCTCGATGTTCGTAATCGGAGGCTTCCTCAGCGGGCTTCTACTACTGTGTGTAGGGGTTCGGGCTTAAGACCTACGACCTAGGGCTTAGCGTTTAGGGCTTAGGGTTTAGGGTTTAGGCCTTAAGGTTTAGGGCTTAGGGTTTCGGGTTTCGGATTTCGGGCTTCGGGGTTAGGGGTTAGGGTTGAGGGCTGCTGAAAAGCCTTCAAGAATAGAAGCCCTCCACCGGAACATGGCAAAAAGCTCTCGGAAATCCACCAGCCCCCCGAAGTTGCAGCAGTAAACACACCCACCCTAAGAGTAAAACGACGGAAGAGGCCGTTTGCCACACACTTGCGCCGGGCGTCACTGGCTGCAATGTGTCTGGGACCATGTGCAGCTTTTGGAGCTTGCCTGAGTGCACCTGCATCATCTTGGAGCCTTGGAAAACTGAGCTTCACGGCTTAGGGTTTAGGGTTTAGGGTTTAGGGTTTAGGGTTTGGTGAATTCCGTAGGCCCTTTAAAGGTCAAAAGCCCGTACTTACACGAACCTGCACAGCAAGGTCTCATGAGCGACCTTTAAGGTCGACCGAAGTCATGCTGATCACTGGAACCTAAACCCTAAACCCCAAACCCGAAGCCTTAAACCCTGAACCCCAACCCCGTATCACCTGAACATGTTGGACCTTGGACCATCTCAAACACCGGCTTTGGGCCTTGGCGTCAGAACTCCTTTGAAGAAGATCAAAGCCGAAACCGGCGGAGGTTGTTTTTTTTTTTTAAGTGTGGCTCGGGCCTGGTTTTTTCGAAAGGTGTGGCTCGGCCTCGCTTGGCAAATACTGCAACATTTCTGCGTTTTCACAGGCTGCAGATACTGAAATTAGCAGCATTTCTGTTTATTCAGAGGCTGCAGATACTGCAAATAGCAACATTTTTGCGTTCTCAGAGGCTTGAAATACTGTATACTGTAAATAGCAGAATTTCTGCATTCTCATAGGCTTGAAATACTATAGATAGCAGCATTTTTGCATTCTCAGAGGCCTGAAATATTGTAAATAGCAGCATTTCTGCGTTTTCAGGGGCTGCAAATACTGTAAACTGCGATTTTAGAGGCTGCAAATCTGCAATTCTGACTTTGCAGAGGCTGCATGTACTGAAAGCATACTGTACATAGCAGCATTTCTGAGTTTTCAGAGGCTGCAAATACTGGAAAGAGCGGCATTTGTGAAATTTCAGAAGCTGCGAATGCCAGCATGAGACAAAACAAACGGAAGGGATCATATGCTTTGACGCAAGCTTGCACAACCTAAAAAAGCGGGTGGGGTTGGGGGGAGCGCAGCCCGCCCCCCATTTGCAAGCACAGTGCAAACAGAATGCTCGCATGATGGGTTTGTAAGGGATTCATATGGTGTTTGAGGCAAGCTTGCACGGCTTAAACAAGCAAGGGGGCGGGGGGTTGGGAGGGTTGCAACACAACGCGCACCCGATGGGTCTGGAAGGGAATCACATGCTTTGACGCAAGCTTGCGTGGGTTAAAAAAGCGGGGGGGTTGGTGGGGGCACAGCCGCCCCCCCGGCCTAAACAAGCGGGGGGGTTCTGGGGGGCGCAGCGCCGCCATTTGCGAACACAATGCTCGAACGATGGGTTTGGAAAGGATTCAAATGATGCACGGTTTGCAAAAGTCGGGGGCTTGGGGGGATGGCAACCATTTGCAAACAGAATGCTCGCATG